GAAAATTGGAGAAATTCAGTAAAGATCTAGCATCACCATTCATGAATAACAAGAGATCATCAACATAACCTAGCTGAGAAACTACAGAAGCTCCGCTACTAACCAAGTAGGATGAAATCTTTCCCCTGTTTAACTAACTGATTTAAGCCCCTAGATAAGGCCTCTGAGGTAAGGACAAAGAGATAAGGGGATAATGGATCACCCTGCTTAACACCCCTAGTTGGCTTGAAAAAACCATGAGAGAATCTATTCACCATAATTGACATCCTAGTAGCCTGTAGTTTGTTCATTATAATGCTGATAAAATGATTTGAAAAGCCAAACCTGGAAAGAATGTTCTTCAAAAATGACCAGGAAACGCTGCCAAAAGCCTTTCCCATATCTAATTTAATGGCTATATTCCCCCTTCTGACTTTCTTATCTAATGAGTGCATTAATTCCCGAGCAAGCAAAATATGGCCACTAGTCTCTCTATTTTGAAGAAAACCTGTTTGTTCTTTAGATATGACTTTATTCAGGACTGAATTTAGCCTTGGGTTAAAATTGTAGTGCAAACCTTGCTGATGAATGTAGACAGGCAGATAGGCCTAAATTCAGTGAAGTTTTTATTCCTATCATTCTTAGGAATCAGAACAATAGTTGTACTACCCATAGCTTGGGGGATTGTAGTGCATAAGAAAAATTCTTGAACAGCAGAGACAACATCAGATTTAACCACCTCCCAACAAGATCTGAAAAATTTCCCATTAAAGCCATCTGGCACTGCTGCACTGTTATGGTTAAGGCTCCAAACAACTTCCTTTACTTCATCTTCTTTTGGTATCTGAGTTAACATGATATTATCCTCTAGGTTGATCACCTGGGGGATAAAGCTAAGAATATGATCAGATTATTCCATAGTAAAAGAGGCCTCTTGCTCAGTAAAAAGATTTTGGAAATAGTGTATTGCTGCAGTTCCAAACTGTTCAGTGTCTGTGATCCATATGCCATCTTCCTTTTGAATATTAGCAATGTGATGTCTCGTGTCTTCCTTTAACAAAATTGTGAAAAGTCTTAGTATTACTGTCCCCACCTTTGAGCCATTTAATTCTGGCTTTTTGCTTCCAAAATTGTTTTTCCTGTTTATAAGCCAAAATTAACTCTGCCTGAGCTTTATGTCAATTAGACCTATTGACTTCATCAACATGCTCCTCAAAAATCTTTTCAACCTCATCAGCCCTTAGTTCACAACTTTTAACCCTTTCAAAGATGTTCCCAAAATAAGCACAATTCCACTCTTTGAGATCTTTTTTGAGATGTTTGAGTTTAAGAAAGAGACCCCTCATGCCCTTCCAAATGTATTAGAATTCCAGCATTTGGCAATCAAATCATTAAAATTAGGATGACGAATCCACATATTTTGAAACCTAAAAGGTTTAGGCCCAGAATATGCTTGCTGATGACATTTAATGAGAATAGGGGAGCGACCTGAACTGGATTTATTAAGATGCTTGATAAAAATTCCCCGAAACATATCCTGAAAAGCCTGATTGATGAGAATTCTATCAAGTCTTCTCCAAACTCTACCATTTCTCCTCATACCAGTCCACGTAAACTGATTTCCCACCCAAGGTAAATTAAGTAAATCACAGTAAGTGATGCAATTATTAAAGTCATCCATGCTCTCATAACATGGGATGAAGTTGCCTTTATGCTCATTGTAGTTAGTGATGAAATTAAAATCTCCCCAATGATCCAAGGACCCATATTATTATTATTCTCATACCAGCTTGATAAAAATTCCCAATTATCCCTTCTTTCCAAAATAGTACACTTACCATAAACAGATGTGAGCCAGAAAGAATAAGAGCCCAAAGTAATATAGCAGTGAATAAGTTGACCTTCCAAGTGATTTGAGAAATAGTAATTATATTAGAGTCCCAAAAAAGCCAAATCTTGCCATTAGGATGAAGGAAACACCCAGATAAAGCAAGTTCCCTTTTAAAAGAATTCCCTCTATTATTATCCACCATTGGTTCAAAGATTGATATGAAACTGACATCCAACTGCCTAATAAGAGTAGAAAGCCTTGGGCAGGAGGAAACAAGGACTCTGATATTCCAAAATAAAAAAATCAGTACGAAATAGATTTAGAAGCTTGAGAAAGCCTTCTGGCCGAGGCCTTGTTTCTGGAGGAATTCTAGCCTACCTTTTCCTCCTTGTAACTTGTATGAATCCATCATTTGGGTCTTTATATGTATGAGTAGAATGCTCCCCATGAATTAGCTTATCAGCCTGTTGTTTGGCTTCTAGCTCTTCTTTCTGTTTAACTATGTTGGCAACTTTTATTTGCAGGAATTTTAACTCTTCTGTCCAGGTCTCTTTATCAGATATGTGAGGAGGGTTCTCCCCATCAGAAGCATATCCCTTCAAGAGCAGTGATGGATCATATTCCAAGCTACTTTGAGTGTGATGCAATGTGGAATCATCAGCCGACTTATGAACATCTGCTTTAAAGGATGGAACCAACCAAGATATATCCATCCTTAATAAATGAGAAGTTGGATAAGATTTAACCTCTTCGTCCTGTGTAGATGGATTTTGAATTAACGAGATCATGGTATTTATCTCCTTGTCATCACCCAGGTGAAGGCAGCTGCATAGGGGTGGAGGCACCAGCCCCAGATGAGAAAGGATTGGCTTCCATCTCAGTTTCCTCCACCTCAGAGTCTGATTCTTGTGGGTTATAAGTTATTGGCTTTTCTGTAAATGTAACCATATTCCCCTTCTCTTTTTCCTGAGATGTAAATTTAGTAGCTTTCTGTGTGATATTGCGATGGGTTCAATATTGATTTTCCTTTTTAGGGCATTTTGTCTCCACATGCCCTAAGTGAAGACAATGAACACAATACATGAGCCTGTTCTCATAAATTACTAGTTGAGAAAAACCAGTAGAACCACAATGAATCCATACTTTGTTAGACATTTCTTTTGTAAGATCTAATTCAACACAGACCCGAGCTACTAATGGTCTCAAAAGATTAGCAGTAGCAGCATCATTTTTCAAAGGAGAGCCAATAAGGGTAGCAATTTCCGGAAAGGGCTTTTTTGTCATGCAAGTGCGAAGGTAGCCCTTCTAAAGTAATCAGGAATCACATGGAATTCCACGTCTGGAAGAAAATCAGGTGACCAATTGGTCACTCTCATAGAGTAACCATAAATAGTCCATGTTTGTTGGTTCCAACACCTTAATTAATCTTCTTCAAGATCAAATCTAATCAAAACGTGCTCTTTATCCAACAAACCTAAGTGAAAAGGGCCTTTAAAACCGATTTCATCAAATGCTTTACGTAGATTCTCCATGCTAGGTCTGCCCCGGTAAAAGAAGCCAATCAAAGATCGCTTGTGACGTTCTGCTAGGGCCTGAATATCCCTTTTTCGTAAAGTTGATTGCCGACATGCCCTTAAAGCGTGAAGTTGTATTCAAATTGCATTCCGATTGGTTTGCCACAACCTCGTCAAAGGACTTGCCTGCATGCCATGGACTTCTGCCCGGTGATGGTTGTGCCGTCTGTGGACATATTAAAATTATTGGGCCAAAGTTCAATTCTGTTGGGCTGCTCGTGATGGTTGTTGGGCCTTATAGAAATATTAATATGGATCCATTCGGATAAAATTTATTAATTGAATTAATTTGGGTCATTTAAAATATCCAATTAATTTAATTATAAATTAAATCTTTAAAAGAATGGATTGATCCTATTAATTTATTTATTTTGATCCCAATATCAAATAATGGCTCAATAAATAAATGATCCAATATATGAAGAGGAAGACGAATCTAGTTAAGAAATAAGTCCATATGCATGGGAAATGACTGTGAACCTTGTTAAAAAGGCTGTCGAGATACATCAAACAAGTGCTGATTTTTTAGCTTTCAAATACAAGCAAATAGAGCCCAATGGCTAATTTCTTTGAAGCCCTAAGCATATGAACGAATTTCATGAAACCCTAAAGCATTTTTCACCCTCTTCACACCTATAAATAGGGGTTTCAGTTGAGAGAGAGGGGGGGGGGGGGGGGGGGGGGGTAGAATTTCCTGTCGAAGAAACGCTGCAGAAAAGCTGTGAAGAATTCTCGAGAGGCTCTGAACGATTCCAAAGAAGAGGAAGAGATCAAGCCACGAATTTTCTCAAGAATATATGAATAATCATTCGTGATTTCATGGATTCTTGATAAAATAAGTCCAAACGAATATAGTCATACATCACTCCAACCTACGAATATAGTCCTTCCATGAAAATTTTAATGGAAGGACTCGAGTACTCAATTAATATAGATTAAATAGTTTAAAGACACAAATGATAGATTTAATAGTTCGAAGATCAAAATGATACGTTGACGATAGTTCAAGACCATTAATACAATTTACTTATATATATGATTCATCAAAGGGAAATCTGTCAATTTGATTCTCGTACTAACACGAAAAAGTCAATTAGGTCTTCATATTTAAAAAACAATCAAATTCCCGAACTTTGAGAAAACGTTCAATTGAGTGAATTAGCAGGTTACCCGTCACGTCAGCTAACGTGGCGCACACGTGATGGTCCATGTGTATGCCACATCACCGGTAAATGACTGACTAGGCTTCCACGTGTGGTAACATCATCAAAGTAATTGCTGAATGAGCTTCCACTTGTGTGCCAGGTCAGAATGTGACTTGCTGACATGACGAGTAACTTGCTAATTGACTTAATTGAACGTTTTTACAAATTTCAGGGATTTGATTGATTAATTTAAAGGAACCCGAATTTAATTGACTTTTTCGCGAAAGGACTAAATTGACATTTTTTGCTTTCACAAAAGGAATTGAGTCTGAGCTCCAGAATCGGAACATAGCTCTCTTTAAGCCTGAGTCGGCAGCAGCAGGGCCGGCCCTGAGCCTGTCTGCCCAGTCCAACCGCACAGGGCCCGGTTTTTTAAAGGATCTGAAAAAATAAAAATTTAGCATCAGACCCAGCCCATTAGTTTTTAGCCAAATCTCTTTACCCAAAACCGCCTGCTCCACGACAACACCCCTCAGACTTCCGCTATTCCCCTGCGCAGCAACCCACGCCCAAGGGCCAAGGCGATTCGGCCGATTCAGACCTCCGCAGCTCCGCTGCCTCCGCGTCTCCAGTCGAACCGCACACCACACGCCTGCACGCCGCCACCTGCAGTCAACCAGCCGCCCGCCTTCCTCACTCCCTCAGACCCTCAAGCTCCCTGCTCTGTTGCTCCCGCCTGGCCGCCTCTGGGCCTCCCTCAGTCCAGTCGTCCGGTGGACTTCCGGTGAGTCCACTGCATCCAATTTCTTTTATTCATTTAGTTGCTAATTTGCTAATTCTTGTGAACTTTTGATTTATTGAATTGATGAATTGTTTGTTGAATTCTTGTAATTTGTTTATTTTCAGATTTAATGTTTGTTGAATCGTTGTATTGTCATTATTTGTTGATTTTTTGCAGTTAAAGTAAATCATTATTTGAATTGATAATACAATGTATAATTTTGTAAATGTGTTTAGCAATTAAAATTTAAGAAAGTGGTATAAATATATTATTAGGTAACTTGAGGTTGATAAATTATAGGGGAAAATAATTAAAATACCCCAAATTTGAAGGGGTGTGACATAAACGCCCCGAACTTTCATATGTAAGTTAAATACCCCAAACTTTATATAAAAAGTTATTTTAACACCATGGTTATGTATTATTTCTTTCACAAATGTAAATTTATTATGTTAAGCATAATTTAAAATAGCAAATTGAAAACATTAGAATTATATATAGTGGTGGGTAATACTATTTATTTTACAATGGAAGCTTAGAATGTTAATTGTATTTTTATGAATGCTAAAAATTATCAAATTATGAAATAAACACCAAAAGTTAATATTTTTGAAAGAAATAATACATGACCATGGTGCTAAAATAATTTTTTTGTAAAGTTTGGGGTATTTAAATTACATATGCAAGTTTGGGGTGCTTATCTCACACCCCATCAAAGTTTGGTGTATTTTAATTATTTTCCCCTAAATTATAATTATACATTAGTATAGTCATTCATGTTTTCACCCTAATTTTAAACTGAATATTAATTTAAAATTTATAAACATGTACATGATTAGAGGAGAATTTCAATAATTGGTAATAATGTTTCCATATAAACTGTAAGTTAATAATGACTTTTTTCATTTTAATCATTACGTTTCTTAGTAACCTGTATTTTAAGACAATTTGCTTGTGTAACAGATTAACAAGTCAATCCATCAGTGAAGCTATGGCAGATTCTTTCTCCTTCCTGGGCAGCTACACCACGTTCCTCAAGCGCGACAATCCTCTTCCTTCGTGGACCGACGCCGACGTGGAGGAGTTCATTTCATCTGACGCCGTTCACGGACCCGCGGTATCGTCTTTTCTATGTCCGCAGATATCCGCTTCCTTTCTGCACCGTTTTTTCATTTTATGACGTGTTTTTCTATCTGAGTGGTAGCTTGCTTTTCTTGCCCCGCAACTGGTGGTTTTAATGATTTGATATGCCAGAAAACTGAATGGTAATATAGCATCTGGAAGCATCTCTAAATCTATGCAGTTAACTCGCTAGTAGGTAATAACTCGGTCAAGGACCTAGTAGCGAGTAGGGGCGACTACTCGGGATTACTCCGTGATTACTCGGCCTTGTATCAATTAGATTTAATAACATAAGTGCCCGAGATTATAGAAATATAACAGTCTTAAATTATCACTTTAGGAGACGTAAGCATCAAGGGGAAATGTTACGTCTCCTATATACTCGGCCTTGTTAAAATTATCTTAAAATTCATAGAAATGAATAAAGTGATAGAAATGCTAATGATGGAGTAGCGAAAGTCATAAACATTCTAAGTCTTCAAGAAAATCAATCATCTAATAATATGGTAATATCTCTGTTCTCTCCCCATGTCCATCCTCTATCATCTGATTTTCTCTTTAAGTGTAGTATTAGCATATTCAGCACCATTAGAAGCCTCAACAAACTGAGCAGAGTCCATGACTCTCAATTAGATGATGTGTGGCGGTGTGTATCAATCAATGATGTGCCATATTAAACAATCAATCTAGTGATATTAATTAAAAGTTACATAGTATAATATGTAGTCATACTAGTGAAAAGAATTTATTTATATCAAAATATATGTGTGTATAAATATTAAACAATCAAGATGGTGATATTTTAAGAATGTTGAAAAGAACATATGGCGAAAAAGGATGGGAGGGTGAAAGAAGAAGAAACGAGAGAGGGGAGAGGGGAAGCTACGAGAAAGAAGATGACAACTTATTGAGAAACCGTAGTCACATTCTAGGGGGATAATAGATGTCAGAAACTCCGTTTAACCTAGGTTTTGTAACTTAATTTTTCAATTTCATAAGGGGGAACCGAGTTAGACCGAGTACTCGCCGAGTTGAAAACTTCACCGAGTTGAGAAACTCGTCGAGTACTCGGCGAGTAACTCGGAAATAAAACACGGACCGAGTTAGGTAGCTACTCGACAAGGTCAATACCCGAGTTGCGAGTACTCGCCGAGTACTCGCGGAGTACTTAAAGAAGATAACCCAGCTCTAAATAGTTGTGATTATGACTCGGTTGAGTTCATATACATGAAGGCTTTCTTCTAAACAGGGCCGCTCTATATTTGAATATTGATTTCCTTTTTCCCCTTTTTAATTAAATTTTTCCGCTAATGATATCAGTGATCAAAGGAAACAAATCAAGATCCTCTTATCTCAGTTTGAGAATTTTGTTTTATGTATTCAAACTGTATTGCATATCTTTTTCCCTTACTGTGAAATTTTCACATTTTGAAGGGGTGAGTCATCCTGTTTCTGTTTTTCTCTCATCTGTTCATATAGTTAGTACGCAGTATTTTTCTAGAAACCCGTAATCCCTCTAATTTTGTAGTGCCTATAAAAATTGGAAAAATATTGAGCTAACGGTATGTCCACTTTCCAGCTGAAATCTGCTCGAGAAGTGGCTCAATTTGGTGCTATAGGAAGCATAGTTGGAGGTGTTACAACTGCAGGGTGGGCTTGGAAGTACTCTAAGAGCCCCCATGGTATTTCATCTCGTTAAAAATGCTTATATGGTGCATCATTGTGACTGTCTTCTAACTATTGAATGTGAGAATTTGTAACTTTGATAGGGAAGGGATTGATCAAACAAACTAGAAATGAAATTTCATCATATTACCCGTTACAAAAAGATTAGGAATTTATCTTTATCTTCCCACCACTCTCTTGAGAAATGCACCAGATCCACCAGTGTTATGTATTTCACATAAGATAAACTTCCTAAAAACTTTCACTGGGTCTGCGGTGAATGAAGGCTGCATGTGTTCGTTCCAGAGAAGTGATGATGATGATCCATGGTGTTTGCCAATTTCCCTGAAACATAATGAATACCAGGGAGGAATGGTGATGTGTTTTCATAGAGGCATGAGAGTAAAATCATAGCATACAATTTGGTTATGTAACAAAGAATAGACAATACTGTAAGAAATTGGGAGAACTACCAAATAAACCCTCGAACTTACATAAAACGTGCAAATCACCTCTTTTATAGGAGGCTTTGTCTGGCCGTCTCCATTTGGGGCGGTCCTCGGTGGAATTTTTTAATGAATTTTTTTGAGCATTAAGTCTATTAATTAAGTCTAGTTTATTCATACCAAATTTCAGCTAAAAATTCAATCGGGAAGACAGTCAAATGAATTTTTGAAGATAACCGCGCAGTGAAACAGCGCAGTTTATTTCAGAAAATCATTTGACTGCTTTTTCAGTTGAATTTTTAGCTGAAATTTGGTATGGGTAAACTAGACTTAATGAAAAAGATGCTCAAAAAATTCCACCGGAAACCGCCCCAAATGGCGATGGTCGGACAGAGCCTCCTATAAAAGGTTGATTTGAACTTTTTATGTACGCTCGAGGGCTTATTTGGTAGTTCTCCCTAAGGAATTTAATACTCCATGATTTTTATTTGTCTTGATGATAATATTGTTTTAAACGGAGGATGATAGACCAAGCAGGTGAGAAATTATGTAGCTAACCCCAACTTATAGATTAGTTCTCAGCTAATAAGTCCGAATTGTAGAAATTATTATGCTTGTGTATTCCTTTTCTATCAATGTTAATTCATATTGTGGCAGAGATGCAAATGTTGCGTTGGATGTGTGGATATACCAAAAAGACCGTTTGATGAATGAGATAATGAGACAAAAGGTGGGAGTAACACCTATAGAAGATAAGATGCAAGAGTCTCGTTTGCGGTGGTTTGGGCATGTGTGTAGAAGACCGAGTGATGCACCTGTTAGACGACTTGAGGGGTGGGGAGAAGAGACAAAGGAAGAGTGAGGGGAAGACCCGAACAGACTTGGATTAGAGGAATCAAAACTGATAAGCGTCTTCTTGGGGTCGGATGAGAGTATGGCTTTAGAGAGGGCAAAGTGGAGGGCGTACATTCGTGTGGACGATTGATCGCTTTTCTATCTTTCCTCTCTCTTTTCTTTTTATCATTTATCTTCTTTATGTTTTTATGTTTTTATGTTATTTTTATCTTCTAGATTTTTTATGCTCTTTTATCTTTTTGTTCTTTATCTTTCTTATATTCTTATGTTGTTGTTATCTTATATTTATTTATTTTTATCTTATTCGTTTTTTTCCTTCTTGTCTTTTTTCTCTTTTTGGCATTGATATCATGGATCGATTAATGTTAGCCGATCCCAAAATCTTTTGGGATTAAGGCTTCCAAATATTACACATCAGATCATAACATGGCATGAATAAGTAATGTATACCGGATGGGAATATGGGATACTGCCAATCCCATCCTTGGTGCATAACTGATGGATGGATGGATGGATGGATGGATGGGTGGGTGGGTGGGTGGGTGGGTGGGTGGGTGGGTGGGTGGATGGATGGATGGATGGATTTTCCTTCCACACATTAGTCATGTCATCGTTCCAAACTCCCAGATACAAGGAAGATACTACTCGATGCAATACTCGTGTAATCTACGCCGGTTCATTTTCATCCTTAGCTTTTTGCATTTTTTGATTTGTTTCTTATTTCCAATACTCTTTTTTTCTATAATTAATATATATACACACATATATAATAAAAATAAAAAACCTATAGGGGCCCAGGCCCCCCAAACCACTTAATAGTTCCGCCTCTGACCCCTACTATTCTTTCCTTAATATTGTGCCAAACCCTGCTGTGGAGAACAATAGAATACAGGGGGATTATAGGTTAATTCTACTTCGGGATAGTAAATAATTATTGGTTCTTATGTATTGGCTCTCTCAAATTCTTGGCAGTATCTTTATGAATTTTATTTTATTTTATCTTGGAGACTGTAAACTTCCTAGTGTCCCAACATATGCCGGTAGTGAGTGCATTTCTATTCATGTCTTGCTAAGCAAAGAAATTTGAGGCAGTTAGTTGCATTCCTTTTTTTGTAATCAACTTTGAGACAAGCTGCCTAGTTGATGGGTAGCATAGAAACTAAAGAGATAGACTTTAAGGATTAAGCATTTTAATAGTGAGGTTCCTAAAGTTTCTTGTTAGGATTTTGTTTGGTAAATGAAGAATGTTAAGGAAATGATTAAAGAGTAGGGGGCATTTGGAAGAGGTAATCACAGTACATTGTGTGGTTCAGGTTTTCATATTAGCTCCCGGGCAGGCAAGGGAGGTAACATTTGGGTTAGGTATTATTATTTATTAGTATTAATCACACAATGTACTGTGATTACCTCGAGTTTCTTAGGTATTGCATATTCTAGTATATTTCGACTGTGTCTCTAGGGATAAAGGACTTTGGGTTGGGTATTATTAGTATTTTTTTGTTCTCTTCGTTTTCTTCTCTTCACTTTGTTTTTTTTTTCCTTTTCCCTTTTATACTCTTTTTGGCTTCTTTTAATAAAATTCCTTTTTTTGAAAAAAAAAAATTAATTACAAAAATAATATCACCTATCTGTAAACCATACAACTTAATATAGTTGTAACCCCCATAGTGGGCTAGTTCACCTTTGTTGGATGCATTTGAATTCTTAGACAGACATAATGGAAGTCAACGTGATAAAGACCTTATGCTTACACTTGCTGAAACATACAATTACTTTCAATTGATTCCACATTTGTGTGAGTTAGTTTTTAGCACAATGTGAATTGAGATGAGCTCAAACAAATGGTGCAGGTGCTTTACTGTCTCTTGGATTTGGTGCCATGTGTGGTTGGACGTTCGGGCATGAAATTGGAAGCCACTGGCTGCAGCTTTACAGGTATAACACTATGGATGCACAAGCTAAGTTCTTGGAGTGGTGGCAGAATAAAGCTGGAGGGCAGTCTTAAATTTTACCACTAGCGGGTTTTTCCTCTCCTATCAATAATAAGATTCATTTTTTGTGATTGGGTTCCATGATGTGGTTTTGGAAGCTTTTAGAGCTGCAAAGTTGGATTAAATTTATAATGTGTGAACTGGACTGCTGCTGCTATTATGTGTGTGTTTTTTTTGTTTTTCTTTGGATCTGCCAAATGAAGTTTTCCCGCTTTAACTATTAGCATATTTAGTTTTTTGTATAATTCAGGTGTCAGGGCTTATCATTATCCTAGTTAGCTTTTTTCCGTTTTAAACGCGTTTTAAACGTGTATCGTTTATTTGAATAAAAAAACACGTTTAAAACGAAAAATAATGTTGGTCCGTTTAAAAAGCAAAAAAACTCCTACTTCCCGTATTAAACGTATTTTTCCCGTATTTTACTTAAAATAGAAACATGAATTGATCAATTGAATGAATGCATTAAATGCATATGATATCAACAATAGTGTAAAACCAAAAGGGAAAAGCTCCTCTTTGTGACTCCATGTTTTTGTATTGTTAAAATACAATTATTAAATACTAAATTAATTGCATGATGGCTTAAGCTTGCATCCCTTAATTTACAAAAAAAACATGAATTGATGAATTGAATGAACACATTAAATGAATATATAGGGGTCAACAATAATTTAAAAGAAAAAGAAAAGCTTATCCATGTGACCTCATGTTTTTGTATTGTTAAAATACAATTATTAAATACTAAAATTAATTGCATTGTGGCTAAAGTTAACTTTCTTAAAGCCTGAAAAGTAACTTGAATCTTAATTTTCCTATAATTACACAATCCAGCGCGCAAAATCAAAAGATACATGTTTGGTTAAAAAGTTGGTTGATACTTGATAAGCTTGATTAGCTGAAAAACAGAGTCACTAAACGGGTCCTAAAATTTTATAAAGTTAATGTCCTCTATCAACTAAAAATAATGGGCATGCATATGAGAAATCAAATTTAAAAAGCCTACATTTGAAAATTTCGATCCAATTACTTTGCATTATTTTATTTGGATTTTTATTTAAAATATATTCATTAGCTTTGTTTCTATTTTAATTTAATACAATTACCAATTTATTTGTGTAACTTTAAGGACTTTGTTTTTCAACTGATTTTAGTCTTAAATCAAACCACATCAAGCCAAATTATGCGATTATGGCTCAAGCGACTGAATATGCTATATTAGGAAAGAATGATATTTAAATTATATGTTATAAGATATGAAAAAAGTCATATGAAAAAGTGACTAAGATGATGCTCTACGGTAACTCGTCGAAAAAATGTTTTTAACTTGCTTATTTTAATTATTACAAATTAAGTGCTTGAATTCAAGAATTACACCAAATTATGCGATTATGGCTCAAGCGACTGAATCTGCTATATTAGGAAAGAATGATATTTAAATTATATGTTATAAGATATGAAAAAAGTCATATGAAAAGGTGGCTAAGATGATGCTCTACGGTAACTTCAGTCATCTCACCGAAAAAATGTTTTTAACTTGCTTATTTAAATTATTACAAATTCAGTGTGTGAATTCAAGAATTACGTGTTTCAGAAATTAGTTTATAAAACAAATAAGCTGAAATTTGGAGATACATACTCGCTTTGTAGTAGTACGTAGTATTTCTTATTAAAAAAATTGGGCACATGTTCTTATTTTCAAAAAAGTAAACGCCTAAGGCAATTGATCCTTGAACCTCCGCACATGTGAAGACTCAAGATCGGGCCTCCTACCGTTTCTCTAGCTCCATATTTGTATTCCAAATTAGTTTCGAGTTTATAAATACAATGATTACTTAATTTTATATAAAATATATACAAATATATATAGGTATTTTTGGGAGGTCCATGGGGTCCCGGGACCTCGTGAGACCCTTAGTGGGTCCGCCACTGATGGAACCCAAGTCTTGGAGATGAGTGTCACCCAAGTGAGCCCCACCATCCTTCCTACCATATTTAGATTCAGTCACATGTAAAACGTATGTATGCATATATCATGTATGTGTGACATTGTTTGTAATTGCACAATGCAATTGTACCTGATGGTGTGCATCAACTAAATCCTAGACTGGCGTAAAACGCATTGCATGGTGTTGGGAGTGTGGCATACACAATATTGCAATGAGGCTTACACAATATTGCATACCCAATAAGGCGTTGAGTGACGTGTGCAATAGGAGTTCAAGGTTTAAGGGTATTATTTGGACTCACTTGACCCACTTCTTAACTTATAATTAACATATTTTGCGTTTATGATCCCTATTTCAAACTACTAGATAGTGATGATTTGATTTTGCTGCCATCAATCTAATAATCTTAAAATTTTAATATGTTTAGGAATTTTGTTATGCTATCTTGGGGTACTTTAAACATTTTACTTTGCAAGGATTATGTTCTCATTATAATTTGTTTTAATATGGCATTTGATAACTCTCGGTGAGTGAGTTATTTTATTTTTGATGTGTTTATGTGTGTGTGTGTGTCGATGTCTGGCATACGCCTCATTACGTAATGAGATTCACGCAATAGACAAATTTTAAAAACGCCATGACCACACAATTTTAAACCTTGCGGCGTGCACAGAGGCATGTATATTCTCAATACGAGAGGCCAAGAGTGGTAGATGGGGATGGATTGAAATGGGGATCCCCTTCCCCTGAAGTGGCTGCCACCTGCACTTGTTAAGATCACACAAAACAAAACAATAAAAAATATTACCATGCAGGCACGCAACCATAATTAAGTGAATAGTTATAATTAAATAGGTGATGCTGCAGGGGATTTTCATGGAATGGATACAGGTTGTTCTTTCGTGTGTCCAAATCTGAATAATGATGGATGGTTTCATATAACCTATTAACCTCCACATCATTCTTGTCCCTGCATGCTTATTCTTCCTTCTGTCACACGCTTTCTTTCCACACGAGCGCATCTATCAATAGGTTTATTATGCATAACAAAGTAAATAATTCAGCACCATAAGACAATATTATTATTCTATTGAACCCTCTATTTACCATTAGTATTTATAGGCGTAGTTTCATATTGCAATTGCAATTAGGAGACATAACCGATGTAATTAATGATTCTTAATCATAATAGAACCCATCAACGTTCATCCCGTAACCTTCATATTAATGTCTCCTTGATGCTCACGTCTCCTAAAGTGATTTTTGCCATTGCCAGTTATCAATCACATATTCGATGCCACGTAAACCCTATGTAGAGTTTGACCTCCACGGAATTCCCACTGGGCCTAATGCCACGTAAACCCTATAAGGGAAAAAATGAAAAGATCAAGAACATGAAAAAGACAAAAAAGTTAAAAAGATAAAATTGATGAAAAGAGATCAATGCTTCATATGAATATTCTTCATTCATTCTACTCACTCGAAAGTTACTCTCTCATCCAACATAAGAAGAACTATGTAATAGATGTTACTACGTATAACTTAGATGAGTTGAGAGGTGTGAAGAGGTGGTGAAGATGAGAGGAAGAGGGAGATGAAGATCCCAAAAAACGTTTACTAGACAAGCATTAACTTTAAGTAGGTTACTTGAGAAAGTTAAAAGAAACTAATAAATTTAATTTACTTTTTCATTAGTTGCACCCAAGTATATAATGTGTTTTGTTTAGGAAATAATTTGGAACATATAACCAAAACAAGAGTAATGGATAAAAAGTTACCCGATAAAAAGTTACCCTAAATCCCTTATCCCTAATAATTTTAGTGACTATAAATGTATTGAAATGTTACATCATAGTGACTATAAAACTTATATATAATAACTTATAGGAGAACATTCCATTTTTGGTCCCATGACTATTATGCCACTTCCAATTTAATCCCTTGAGTTTCAATTTAACCAAATGTAGTCCTTGACATTTTCCACATAACCACCCGTGCTCCTTCCGACCACAATTCCGGCTAAATTTAACCGGAGACCAATTAATTAACATTTATTGGGGGCATTTTAGTAAATTTAAATTACAAAAACGGCTACCTAATAAACTACTCAATTAAGTTAACTAAATGGTGAGCAAATATCGTCGTCTCCCTCTACCTCATAAACCGAACTCTCTTCTCCCTCTGAAGAAAGTTTCCGTCTGCATGAGAAATCCCCAAAACCATTCGAACAATGAGGACCCGTCTGGACCACCGGCGTGATGGAGAAGGAACAAGTGCTGAACGGCGTTCTCCGACAAATGCTGGTGTTAAAAGTAAGAGGGTGAACTTTTTTAAAAAAGTGGAAGAAAATAATGAATATAAGGCTTAATTGAGGTTTATATATACGGTGTTTGGTGTGTTTGCACATGTTAGGGGTTTTATGTTGAGGTTCCCTTTTCCCTTTCCCCCTTTTCCCTTTATTCAAAAACATGGTAGGGTAGGCATGTGTTTTTTTGGCTTAGATTCCCCTGTCCGGCTGTCTTTAACCATTTAAGACATGAGACCAGTTCACATTTATCTTTACACAAGCTTAGACCCATACATGCTTTTATTTTCTTTTTTTTAACTAGTAATTATGAAATTCATTTATGGTGTTGTGTTAACCTTGTAAACACATTATTGACCTCATTTATAAAACAGGTGCAGCCAACTGTGGAAACACTTTTACTTTGAGGTTGTTTTATGGAGGAAAAGTAAATCACATGGATAAACCTTCATACTTGGGAGGCTCAATCCATTATTTTCATGATGTAGAGGTTGATGAGTTCGGTTTGATTGAGTTGAATGAGAAATTACAAGAACTTGGTTGCACCAAAAAGGTAATGACTGTGTATTCCTATTCACATGAGAATGAGTCCCTAAAGAACCTAAATGATGAGGCAGAGGTTTGGGGGATTGTGAATGATGGAAATGTTGGTAAGGTGGCGGAGTTTTGAATAGAATTAGAACCCAGTGGTGACACTGAAGATGATGATGACCCTGAAGACAGTGACTTCAGTGAGAACGAATTAGAACACTTTTCTGGGGATGAGGATGACTCTGATTTGGAAGACTTCATTTCTAAGGAGGATATTGTGTTGTCTACTCATGGAGGGTTAAACAGCAGTAGTGAAGGAGAAGAAAATGTTACTAAAGCTTCAATGGTGGACCCGGATCCTAACGTGTCTGATGATGGTTCCATACATGAATCTGACACTGCCTCTGAGAAGTGGACTAAATTCTGTGCCAAGACTGATATGAAAGACCCTACCTTTAGACCGCGTTTGACATTTGGCAACAAACAGGAATTCAAAGAAGCTGTG